CTAACACCTTTAAGTAGGTTTCCATAGTATGTTTTGTAAAGCACTGATACAAGCAAGTTTTGTGAATAACTACTAACTCTACTAGGCATGTTTACATGTATCTCTAACTGCCATTAAGCATAATGTGTCACAAATAATAATTGTTACCAATTCAATTCTAAAAGTTGCATTACTATAGCCACCACTGCAATGCTGTATCTAGCAGGTCAATGTGTTATTTGGATAAGGTTTTGGAGTGAGGCATTTAAAGCTCAGTATTCTATTCAAGAAAGAGGTTTCAACAGTAATGACTACAGTGTATAGTTAACCTACTTGTGAAATACACGTCCAATACATAGCTATTCACCCAGAAGAAAAAGCTCCATTCAATCAAGTGCCTAAAATGTTTTTAAAAAGTGGATCTGTAACAATTCACTACAGGAGCAACACTGACAGTGTCCATCGCAGCTCCAGAATATTTATAGAGCCCTAGAATGGTTTGGGTTGGAAGGGACCTTGAAGCTCATCCAGTTCCAACCCCCTGCCATGGGCAGGGGCACCTTCCACTAGACCAGGTTGCTCCAAACCTGTCTAACCTGGCCTTGAACACTACCAGGGATGGGGCAGCCACAGCTTCTCTGGGGCAACCTGTGCCAGGACCTCACCACCTTCACAGGGAAGAATTTCTTCCCAATATCTAACCTAAATCTCCCCTCTGTCAGTTTAAAACCACTCCCCTTGCCCTATTCCTACATGCCCTTGTAAAAAGTCTACTGAAGCTTTATGAGAGATATTCACAAAATTGGTGGGGTAGGAAGAACAAAAACAAAGAATCAGAGAGTTCTACATATCAGACTGAGCAACCCCAGCCTCACCTTCATGTTCTTTTACCAAGTTCACAGCTCGCCCAGAGGAGGACATCGCCTAGCACTCCTCAGCAAGGTGAGCACTAAGAAGTTGGGAGAAAACCCATTCCTTTCACAGGGCTGCCAGCCACTAAGCTGCCACAGGAGCAGCACCAACAGCCTCCGCTACCAAAGGCGGCAGTTAGAGCAAGGGGCACACGCCGAACATTCAGCACCTCCCCGCCGCGACTGCGGGACCCGCACCGCTATACGAAGGAGCCCCTGCGGCTGCCGAACGGCCGGGCAGCGCGGACCCCAAGCGACCAGGGCGTTCGGACCTACCTTGTGCCGCAAGCTAAAGGCACGGCTTCAGAGTAAGCCCCCCGCCTGCGCGCTGCTCGCCAGGTGCCTGAACGCTGCGGGGCGCGGTACCAGACAGGCGCGCCCCCCCGCAGCGGGCACCCCATGCCCCATGCCGCCATGCCCCGGGGCAGCGGGACGCGCCCGTTATCGCGGCCCCACACGGTCGCTGTGCCCCGGGGCGCTCTGCCCCTCCCGCAGCCGAAGGAACGCCCTGAGCCCGGCTCTCTGCCGCGCCGTGCTGCAGGACCCGAGCTTCCAGCACCGCCCCCAGCCCCGTCCCGCTCACCCGCTGGCGGCGGCCCGCCCGCCGGGCAGGTATTTGAGGGAGATCTCCATGGGGCCGCGGGGCTCGGCCGCTGCCCAGGCGGGGCTCCCAGCAACCCGCAGCGGACGGGGAGAGCCGGCGCCACGACCGAAGCGGACTGGGCCAAGCGGCCCGGTCCCGCCAGCGAGCCCCACGGCGCACCCAGCCGACAGCGCCGGCTTTATGGGGCCCGGGCGGAGGAGGGCGCCCGCTGCACACGTGCCCGCCCGCCCGCCCGGCTGCAGCAGGTGGAGCTGCCGAGGCTCTGCCCTCGGCTGAGGGACCGGCGCTGAGACGCTTACTACGGGATACAACGTGCGAGGCAGATTGTCAGGTTAGGTTAGGTTAGGTTAGGTTAGGTTAGGTTAGGTTAGGTTAGGTTAGGTTAGGTTAGGTTAGGTTAGGTACGGTACTGCAGAGCAAGTCGTTCTGCAGTCGAAAAGGTGCTTTGTTCTGCCGAGGATGTGGTTTAAAGTAGTTACTACAAACCAGGGTGTTTAAAAAAAAAAAAACAACCTAAGGTGTTCTGGGACTCTTTTCAGTGGCGCCCAACAATGGCACAGGATGAGAAGCAATGGCCATAATCTAAAATGGAAGAAGTTTTACCTCAACTTGAGGAAGAACTTTATGTTGAGGGTGGCAGAGCACTAGAGCAGGCTGCCCAGGTACTTTGTGCAGTCTTCCCCTCTGGAGACATTAAAACCCCGCCTGGATGTGTTTCTATGTAACCTGCTCTAGGTGGGCCTGCCTTGTCAGACTAGATGATCTCCAGAGGTCCCTTCCAGCCCTAACAATTCTGTGAATCGGTGTGAAAACAGAACACAGACTCAGAAGAGGCTTCATCGCAGCAACTGTGAGTTCTGCCTGCCCACGCAGTAGGGATGGGCAGCGTGTGGCTCTTAAGTAATTCTAAGATGATGCTGTGTTTGGTTACAATCACACTGTTTAAGGGAGAAGCAGGGGCAAAAGCCCAGACAAACATCTGTATGCAGTTACTCAAAATTAGCTGCAAAAGCATTATGGCAGCTATTGCATGGGAGGTTCAGGCAAGATGATGGTCCCAACATATGCAGTCACAGGTTTGGTCTTTTACGGTAGCATGTGTTTTCTCCCCATCTGCCAGACATAACTTACGCCTTTACACATTTTCTTTTAAATTGGAAAGATATGAATGTACATGGATTTGGTTTCTTCCTCTTTTGCGTGCATACTTTTTACCTTCCCTTGAGAATATGCTTCTATCCATCATGGAAACTGGCACTTAAAAACAAGTATGGCCCCCACCTCTCTCTTCCCCTCCGCGTAACTCCATTCTGTTACGATCTCTGAGCTCTGCTTGAAAACAAGCTCTCGCTGCTGGAGCATGAAATGACATTGAAATGAGCCTTGGTAGGAAGCAGCTTTTAGCCAGGTTTAGCACTCTGCAACTTATTTTCATGAGGAAACACTCACTGTCAGTATTGTTTGACCAACTCTTTCCACAGGCAGTGAGAGCTAAAACAAAGGAACTCTCTTACCCCTCCAAAACTTCTTGGACAACACCAAGAGCCTTGTTTTCCTTAGAATTGCAGTTTTAAGCATAATGAATTTTATCTGAAGCTTTATCTGCTTCTTTGCTCTCCCCATCTGCATTTTACAGTTATATCTATGCCTGCTTGATTGTATCAGCATAAAGATACCAATGTCTCCAGGATGCAGTTTTACATGTATTACTAGCTTTACTAATATTGAGATTACTGATACTGTTGAAGTCACAAGGGTTTCTTTTAGAATAAGATCTTGTCTCTGCAAGGCCATTACAAGCACATCATATATTGACATGAAGTAAAAGCCCCACCACACAGAGAACAGCAGCAGCCACAGATCTCAGGCAGAGCTGTTCCTCATCTCAAATGCAGCCAGTAGGCTAGAAAACAGAGCATTGCCTGGCTTCTTCTCAGCTGGGTGCAATACTTGAGCAGATGAAGATCCTGAACACCATGGATCAAGGCCAGAAACCCGGACAGCAAGCACTTAAACTGCCAGCAGCACTACAAGGTGAACCATACATGCTTGAGTGTCTGGTTTTCTTAAACAAAAATCAGATAGATATGAGATACGTAAGACAAGCAGTATTTATTTTTTGCAGTCATGACTGGACATTTTGAGGAGGTGTAAGCCAGTAACCTTTCAGGGAACTGTTCTTTCTTTCATGTAACAGCCTACAACTGTTGCTGTGCTATCTTGGTAAGCAGTTGTCCCTTCTTTTCCTCCCACCCTATCTGATCCTTTGCTTTACACATCCTTCTACTCCTTTTACTTAGCCCTCCCCTCTGGCTTCATACTGTGATCCTGCCATAACTATTTGAAGGCAAGTCACCATTCATCAACCTTTTCCTCCCCAAACCCACACAGCTGCGAGCAATACTAAATTAGAAGCTGTGTGCTGCAGCAGGAGTAGCAGAGCGTGGTTTTCCATTGAATTTCTGTGTCTCAGTTGATTGACTTTTTAGCTGTAGCCCAAGCACAGGTCATTACTTAAAGACTCTAACAGAGATTTAACTGCAAAACAAGCTTCACAATGAAGTTTGTCTTTCAGGCAACAGAAACCAGTCTTCAGTGGAAGATTCCTCCTATTAGGAGTTGAATGAATCTCTATACAGTATCTTTTCATGCTTTTGGAAACATGACTTCTCCCTGCTTCTGTAAAGCTGTATAGGAATCTGATATTTTAGAGTTCTGTCAAGTGTTGTTGAAATTTGTTGCCAATTTCGTAAGTTAACAGTGACAAGCATACACTCTGCCCCACTTCTGAATGAAATCAGACTACTGCTTGCCTTGTAACTGTATTTACAAAGAAGTCCACAGCTGTTTACAAAATGCACTTGCATTTTGAGCAAATTATTAATCTTAGCTTTTTCTTAACTCTGTATGAAAAAGCTTTGCTAATAAGTCAGCTGCTTGCATTTGAGTGATCTTAAAAGTGCTTGCCATCCCTGTCAGAATTCCTTGCACAAACTATTTTATACAATAGTGATGTTCACGTTAGATATATTGTGTGGTGTCAAAGACCCACAAGGAGTTTAATGTGTCAGTAGAAAACACAGTCACTTAATATTTGCTTTTCAAGGCCAGATTGCCTTGAATCTTCTTGAAAAGCTTCAAAACTCTTCAATCTTAGGGGATTGTTGGAAGACAAGGACCTCAATACAGGAAACTCTCAGATACCGTGAATCATCTGTTCTGCCTACATGTTGCATTTGTTTTGCTTTTGCTGAATTTCACATAATGTACACATAACGTAAGGTTTAACACTTGCTTATTTGTTTCTATGACAAACTCTGAAATGCTGTTGAACAAGATCACACAGGAACAGGTCCCCACCAAGGTACACAGGAGCTATGCTGAATACAAGAAATGCAAGCTCACATACTCCACACACTGTTTCATGCCAATTATTGTATACTGCTATATAAAAAATATTAACCTCACGACATATTTACTCTGAAAATGAATACTGGCACACCCAGTTCATACTGCAGCTGGAACTGTTTATTGTAGCACATTTACAATGTTTAAACATTCAGAAAGAACATGTTTAGTGTCCTCCACTTTTGTGCACAGCATTATACATTATCACACACCACTACAGGAATGTTGCTCACAAATGTAAGTTATCTAAAATATGCTTCCCTTTGGTTTTCTTTTCTGCTCCCAGAGTGAATGGACTACAGAAAATAAGGCATCCATTAAATGGTATCACAATCAACAATATCCATAAACTAAGTTGTGAAAACTGAACTTTTATAAGATCTAATGTCTAAGACAGCAACCGACAGTACCAGGTTATTAGATTGGTAGGAAACATCCCATTTCTAAAGTATGGAGAGATATGACTCTCAGAAACCTATCTTCTGTGTATTTAAATTAGTTTAGACTTCAGGTTTACAGACTTGTGTACCAGAGGAAGATTTCAAATTAAAAAAATAGATATTTTGAAAGTGCTTTTGTCTGACTTTTCCTTTAAAAATGTAAGGTCAGCACACTGTGAAGCTGAAGACTGTAACTGATCCTACCCAGCTCTGGGTATAGGAGAACACCTACATTTCTCCCCTCAACTCGCCCCTCAAGCTTCAGTTCTGGCCTGTCATACCTCTGGCCTCTCTGCAAAGAGGCTGCTATTTACATCAAGTGGTACTTATGCTTATAAAAATACCTGGTTTATGCTCTCAGCTGTATTTGAATGGGTTGTGCATACATTCGCTGTAATGTCTCCAGAACCAAATTATACCAAACTTTATAGCTTTCGTTTATTTGTACTATGAGTGCAGATAAACAAAAGATGCTGAGAGCTCTAGAGTGAGCTTTCATTCATTCGGTGATGGGTCAGCCATAGCCAGATAAAGCCTGCAGTACTGAGGGCTAAGTTGATGTTCAAAGTTATGGTTGTCTAGCACTATTTTTACTTGTTGAAAGTTAGTGCATTTCTAGTCTACTCACATAATCTAGCCAAGTCTCTGAACACAAGACAGCTCTTTAATGCCCTCTGCGCAATTTAACTGAGGAAACAAATAGAACAAAGCTAATAAAAAAACCAACCCCCAAACCCCTGAACTAGTAACGAGAGTGCCTAATCAGAAAGTTTACCATAAGCTTCTGCCACAGGCTTACACTGTTTTTTGAGAAGAGCAAATTCAGGCTTTAGGTATAAGGTTTTCCACAAGCTCCACGTTACAGTTCTTGCAATATGTGCTCCTCTAAAGGCTCCATGATACATTCCCACAATCCACTACATATGTTCATTACAACCTGTACAGGAGAGGGGGAAATGTTGTCAGGTACATGCATCAAAATAACAATTTCATTGTACAAAAGACCTTAAAACTAACTCTGAACTATTTAATTACTAATTTGACATACCCTGATCAGAAACGGCTATGAATCACCATAAAACATTTTGAACATGTGAAAGAACTGAGCCTTGTATGTCCTGTAGGACCATATGACTAATTAAGGAGCAGAAGCCATAATGCAACATCAAGATACATACTTCTTCCTACAGATCATTTGTTTTAAAGTCAAACCAGACCGCCACAATAATAGAGCTAATGGAGCAATGTCCAGTATCTGCAGGCAACTGCAAAGTCAGCCCCTGATCTAGCTTCTAGAGAAAGAAACACACTATTTCCAGACAAAAAAACAGTCTGTAACATTAGCGTGCGTGGTGTGAAGCATGCACGTGGATCAAGACATTTTGCACCAGGATAAAACAACTGAAGAGCAGGTAACCCATTTAGGAAACAAGGCTCTGAAATGTGGCACTTAAATGCCTGCAGCTCTGAGCCCACAGCCTGCAGCTGCTGGATGCCCAATACTCCTGAAGAACAAGTTGCTTGAGAGTACCCAAGTTTTCCTTTTTGAATGCTCATCTAGAGGTCCATTCCCTGCCTTACAGTCAGTGGGAAAAGTACATCCCCACCCTGTCCTGCCTCATATTGGGTTTCTTGCCTGGTTAAACTGAGCTGTGTGCAGAAAAGGAAATATTAACGTCTGTGCCCTTTACCCAGGAGCAAGATGCGCTGCTCTTCTTCATCCCACACTTTCATCTCCAGTAAGGCTCTATTTTCTCCCTGTTCTGAAATATATCCCCATCTCCTCCCCTTCATGAATATAACCTATCTGGCGTATAGCAACAGAGCACACCAGAAAAGCCCAGTACCAAGGAGCTGCAAATGTCTTTGATCTTTTTAACCAAGCTGCAAATATTTTAAGGCTCCCCCGCCAAAGGACCATTCAACAAGCAAAACTCAAGAGTTGCTGCCAGCCAGGTTAAATATAAACCACGTATCCTGCAATCAGTATTCCTGAAGAAACAAAGCTTCAGATAACTGAAGCATTAAGCTCTCCATAGCGGAAGTTAGGCAATGCTTTTCCAGGTGCTATAATACCATCTTAAACTGCATGCTGTCCTAAAATCTTGGCAAGCTTTTCTCCTTAAGTTTCAGGCCCACTACCATTTAAGTTAGAACACCTTACTGCACAAAGCATCATTAAAAAAGTGGGTAAGAAGACACTGAACGAGTCCTGTCTATTGCAGTGAGTACAGGCAATGTTAATGCTTGCACATTATACATACAGGGTTCCCAAGCTACTGTATACACTGTCTAACTTTCTGTACTGTTTTTCATATTAAGCGATCCTTAATTTACAAGTTTCCTCACCTCTCCTAAGGAGTTTTTTGGCTGTGGACATTCTGCTAAAATGCTCCATTCTGAAGTTTTAGAACTAGTTTAGGAATTTTATGTTAGGGGGATGGAGGGTTTCCCCTCCACCCACAAAAAAAATTAAGTGCTCTTCATAAATATTATAACAGGGACATGTTGTGGCATGCTGCCTTTGCATATACCTTAATGTATAATTTTAATACAGGTACATACCATTACAGCAACAGAAGAGGGATGCAGAGCTCTCCTCCTCTAACCTGTACCTGCCAGAGTTTGGCAAGTCTTTGCACTGTGATATAAATCTCTGAAGTTCTGTCTCTGGAAAGCCATCTTGCTGGTAGTGCTAGAAATTGATACTTAGTTAAACCTTTGACAAGGCTAAAACATAAAATAACCCAAATCCTCCCCAGACCGCTTTTCAGACATTGTTCAAGTCTGAAATTAGAAGATTAACAGAACTAAATATGAAATTACTGCTTTTTAGTAGGTATTTAGCTTCCATTGGAGCTGGAAATCAGATAGACTTGTAAGAAAACTGAAGGAGGAAAAGATTGCAAGCCTCTCATCATCACTCTACACCCTCTAAAGCAGCCATTATATTTATCTTTTATATTGGCATGCAGTGCAAGTCACAATATTGAGGGGGGTGAGAGTCTTGATAGCACCAATCTTTCATTTTTATTCCAAACAAAGAGTCCATGCTTACCTTGACAGTTTCATATGTATCTGTAATGAGTGCAATGAAGAGACTCAGCACCATATAGATGAACAGACTGATGAAAGAGTAGAGGTAGATCCTACTGAATAACCAAACCAAGTAACTTTTCTGCTGCATTTTTGCAAAGGTAGCAAACATGTCATCTCCATTGATCAGTGAAAAAAGGCATTCAGAAACCATGTTCAGAGAGCGAAACTAGAAGAAAGGGAAGAAGACAAGTACATCCATCACTGCTTTATTTGGATCCAAAGGCTGTACACAGCGTGAAAAAAAATGCACAGCTGATGACCTGTTGCCTTGGATCTCTTTGTACACTCAAGAGTATGACAAGGTGCAAACAGTAAAACATTTGATGAGTGAGCAACGTTTGGCACCTCCTGCACACATACACATTCAGTTCAGATAAGCCGATTTCACTTTTAAAAGGGACAAGGACAAAGTCTCCAAAGCTTAAGTCCAACACTGGTGTTCTGCAATATGAAAATTATTTCTCAAAATACCAGCACATGATTGGGAGTCACAGCAGCTTCCACTTCTGACTCAGAGCTTTCATAACTCAAGGAAAGTCTGATTGAGTCATGGAAGTCAGACTCCTCAAACAGAGCAACATCATGTTGAGGATGCACTATTTTTATATTAAGGGAAGCCTTGACATGGAAACTTAGAAGACAACAGCAGTAATCTCTCATTTGTTTGGAATCCATTCTGTTATTCGAGTTGACTTGTTTCATGGGAAGTATATTACCTTCACATGGTACGGTCCCAGCACAATCCATCCACAGAAACAGTAGCCCAAGTAGATCATAGCAGCACAACAGCAGAACCTCATTACATTGGGTAATGCTGCTCGCAGTGTTAGGATGAGAAGCTGCACAGAGCAATGCAAACAGTTAGAATTCAATCAGGCATTTCTTCCAGCCCTCTTATAGCAACAAACAGAATAAATACCAACAGCACGAAGATCCCAGAAGATCCTTACATTATACTTCTGAAAGAAACCTAGGTAGCGAATGACTCCAAGCCACACAAGCATAGTCGATGTTCCGAGAAGTATGCTACACACATCGTAACTTGTCAGACTCTAAAACAAAAAAAAAAGGGGGGAAATAAATAAAATATATATATCAAGTATTATAACAACTAAATTTAGAACAACAGGTTCTAAATTGCAACTCTCGTTACTACAAAGATCTGTTAAGAAAGACAGTTTATCTTAGCAACCTCTCCCATTAAAATTTAGTTTGGGGCAATATGCATTAGACAGCTGAAGTCCCACCAGAGAGGAAGGGCACTTTCAAGTGTAACTCATTTCCCATGCCTTTACATATATGGCTGTTTGCAAAACAGATCCTGACAAGACAAGCTTCATTTGCAAGGCCAACAGCACAGCAGCATGGTGGGTGCAGAGGCACCCCCTCTGTACATGGCTCACTAAGACCTGCAGAGTGGCACTGCAAACATTTTTATGCTGCTTCCAGGCCTCCAGTAACTGCTTCTGGAATCTGCATTGGCAGATTCCCCAGAGCAGCTTGGGAATCTCTCTACTGTATCCCAATGGACAGTGTAGATATGACTTTAGAACAGCAGAACATAGAAGGTTCTTCCAGTATGGAGGCAAAGCAGTTTGTAAGAAATAGCATGACTTGTCACCAGAGCTCAGGTAAGTACTAAGGAAGACCTTGTGAGGTAGCCAGGAACTGTAAGGCATAGACAGTTTCAAGGAGAAGACTAATCAGCTTCTAATTAATTCTAACCAGGACTTCATTTATATTTTATTTGCTCTTCATTACCTTTTTCCACCTATACATACTGGCTGTTTTGTCCAAGTTAGCATATACCCTGTTCCCTGAATTGCAGCTCTACTCTGAAATGGTTCATGACAACTTACTAAGAATTTTTCTTTATTTTATGGTTTTAGTCCTCTAAGAGTTTTCTAATTTTTTATATTACTATAATTCATTTACAGCTTGACAAAACACAAATTTAGGCTACTTTAATGTGAACTTACTATTCAGCCACTAAGTAACATGGAACAAGATCTTGTTATTATGGTCTGCAAGGCTTGCAAAATGAAGGGAAATGTACTTCATTAGAGAAGAGTTTTAGTAAAATACTCTCTTAGAACAGAAACATATAGAAAGAGATGTATTTATAAGATACTGGAATCCCAAATACAAGATCTTACTCCAACCATATTCTTGTCTTCACTTCTCTTGAAGCAGAATGAAGCTATCTCTTAGCCAAGTTCCTCACAGCTTCTTCCTACTTAACAACTGAGTTTATAGTTCCTAAGGTAAGATAGGGCAGTTTGTACAGGGCATTTAGGATAGTAAAGCTGTCACCAGATGGATTTCAGGCCCATCCTTTCACCACTACTGTCCAAAGTCTGCTGTGTTGCAATGTCACACTTCAAAGTCTGCTAGAGATTTGGTGAACAACATTAGCTAAATATTAGAGTGCTTCAGGATTTATTTTAATAATTTTTCTTCCCTAATTCTGGTTCATATAATATGTTTTTAAAAGTTGGCCTTTTTTTTTTTTCATTATCAAGTTTATCTTAGATATTTTAGGCCTAGCTCCTGGCTGTGGCTGACTGTTCTGTACATGCTGAAAAACAGAAGCTGGGAAAGCAGCAAAGTGATGTTTAAGGAGAGAGTCTCTGTGCTGGTTAAACACTTGTTAAATAGGGAACAGAAAGTTAAATGCTAAATTAAAATAAAATAAATACATCATCAAATTAGTAAATATAAGTGGTCCTAAATGGAGAAGAGAGAAAGTCGTCTCAGACTTCCAGAGATTAAGTTAATTTTATTCCTTGGTGTCACAAAGAAGCAAAGGTAATTAAAACTAAAATACCTAGAGATAATCAGAGTTTTTTTTAATCTCTCAATTGGAAACAACACATACCAGTTACAATTGCAGAGGAGAAGATGGGATTTTAAAACTTCATGCCACTACAGGACGAAGCTTAGCCAGCCTAAAGTCCTCTGACAGATTTAAACCTAACTGGGAGAGCGACAATCAGTTTTGCTTCTACCTGACGGTGTAAAAAACTCACCTTGGCTTGTATCTCCATCTTCAGAGTTGATCCAACAAAAGTTAAGACATCACTGACCATAATCATGATGTACCACCCATTGACAAATTCCATTTGATCACTGAAAGATACTTCTTTCTTATAATAATATAGGAAAAAGCTTACAAATTCCTAGGCGAAAAGAGGAAAGAAAAAGGTAAATTAGACTTACACAAGACACGAAGGCTTTCCAAGGAAAGACTTATACCCACCCTTTGGAGCTGAATTCCTTTAACCACTGATCGTGTGCAAAGGATTAGTGAAGCCAGACAAGTCAATATAACAAAAGCATCAAAGATCATCATGTAATGAGTGTTCTTCTGTACTGCAAGAACAAAAATGTACATATATATTCATAGTCAGATGCATTTCATCTTGTTGATCATCTTGAATATTGAAACAAGAATCAAGTTTCAATGTTGACTTTATTTATACAATTTAATTAAGAAAAATGTTAACATTTTTCCCCCAGAAGTTTATCTATCTGACGTATTTTCATGAGACACAAGTGCATCTGCACCATGGATACCACCACTTCCGTTAATTTAGGAAGGCTGATACCACATCAAAAATATACCAGAGAGAGTGCTTCTTACAGCCTGGCAGAATTTGAGGTGGGAGTTGTCCGTTTTATGATCACTGGAATGGCCTCTGGAGTGACAGAACGTGTCAAAAAAATATCCCAGGAACTATGTATCTTCTTTTCCAGACGAGTACTTCACTATCAGGTGGGTTTTCTGTCCTAGAGCAGCGCAGATAATTTGCACTGCTGCCCAGCTGGCCAAGACCAGCACTGAGCTAGACTTCAGTTCTCCATCTCTTATGTTACTAAAATTCACAGTCTTGATAAACTAAGGTAGAGCTGGTGCAAAATTTGACAACTAGACCCCCTTTTTTATACCTATCATATAGCTGAAGCTTAATGAGACGATATAATTACATTTTTAATGCTAAAGAGTGATTGAGAAAAACAACTGAAATAAATTCAAGCTAAATTTTCAAGACATAGCAATTCTCCAAAATGCTGTACTGAAGTTCTAGTTGACTTCACAAACTGCACTACTCAGAAAAAGCACACCTTTTTGCTTATACCAGAGTCACTAACACATGTACCGTTGCCATTTAAACTGGGTTTGCAGTGTAGTCCTGAATAGCAACAACTTGTTATTGTCCTATTGTAATCATTACCTTTGTATTCGTCCTTGGCTTTCAGAAAATAATACAGGGTACTCCAGGAGATGATTTTGAAAACTGTTATAGAGGCAATCTACACAGGTATCAGATGTGGATTATTACAGAAGCCCGGTATCAAAACCTTCTTGCGCTGCTGCACTAGCAATCTTTTGGAGGTAGCATGCCATCTGGTGTGCATTTGTAACACGGCAACTAGCAAAGTTACTTCCTACGCAGCGTGTAGTGAAACATGCATTTGCCAAAGCGGAGTGTTTCGTACTCTGTAATGCATTTCATTAAATTCCTCCAAATTTATTCCAATCCGGATCTTTAAAATAAAAGCCCAAAACTTCTCTTTTTCACTACCAGCTTTTAATTTCCTGATGTAGGCACAGCAAAAGGGAAAGCAGCCAAGTAGAAAAATGGACCTGATTCATCCTATTGCTTAACTCAGCAAAAAATAAAAAATTAAATGGAATTTAAAGTCTTGGAAAGCTTCTGACTTTCAAAGAGATTATTTTCTCTAATCAAAAAAGATCTCAGGCAATGTTTTGACCAGACCCAATAGGTGCCAACAAGGGGTACTCTTGTGAGTAACTATTTAATATAATTTAGCCATACTGTGCATTTCTGTACACCAAAATACAAGCCAAACAACATTTCAGCACCAGTAGAAGTGTTTCTAGCCATTCCACTCTAGCAAGCCTTATCAACAGCACTTCCTTATCTTTCCTGGTGCTACGTCCTGAAATAAGAATCGGTTTCTACTTTCCAACACTATCATGTGTCCTTCTGTTGCCTAGTGCTAGAACGGTTCACAGCCTACCTTAAGCAATGAAGAGCATAAGTTCAGTAGCCAAAGCTAGAAGGATTCACAGTGAGGTGTATCACTGGTTTGACACTATCAATCTAAGGTGCAAGGCTGGAGAACTGCTAAGGAAAGTAATGGTGTGGCTGGTTCCCAGGGTTTCAGATCAGAGGTTGAAGAACAATACCTTAGAAAATCAGGATTTAGAGCCAAGCCACTAGGGAATGTATGCGAATAGTGCCTCATCTTTTAACAAAGGAAGAGTTTAACAAACATTGTGCTAGTGTGGCAAAAATTTAACATGAAAATTTGAATGTATTTATGTCACTTACTTGATCCAGAAACATGCCAGTCTTTACATTCCCTGATCTCTATGTCATTGTCTAGACTTATTTTGATTCTTCCACTGTGTGCTTTGTTATCAAACACTATCTGTATTAACAAAACAAACAAACAAACAAAAAAGTGTATGTCTTTTTAAAGTCAAACCATTACATATGTAGCACACTGTAAGCTAAGCCTGCATAATGATTCAGAATAATCCTCCTAGGGGAGAAGTTACAAAATGTATTCAAGCCTAATGCAATTCCAGTTTATTCAAATAAATGCTGTCAAAGTGAAAAACAAACCTGGTGAACAATATATTTGCCATAAATTGCTTGATTAACTAGATACTAAATGGAATTCTTTTAAACTACAGCCTCATTCCTCTATGATCTGAAAACAACCTTTTATAGAAGCATCTCTCTAAAGAGAAGAGGTTTATGCTTTCATTATACTTCAGATGGACTAGAGCACAAAAGGCTGTAAGGCAAACGAGTGTTTCAGGACCACATCATGAATACTCAAAGCTTAACTTCGCACAGTGACAACCAGCAGTATTTACAGGGTACACTAACCCATGACAGAGTAATCCAGACACCAGTGTGGACCAGTCAGTGGTGCCCAACACTTCAGAAAGCACCTGCACAGACTGTGTATGGTAAATCAGCAGGAATGATTTCTCATTTTGAATAGAAAGACACATGGCAGGTTTCCACCTACCCTTAGAGTGAAATCGTAACAGTCAGGGAGCTCGTGGTGACGAACAGTCTGGAGGTTGACTGCCTTCAAATTGAACTTGAGCTGCACCATCACCAGTCTGCAATAGAGCTCCGTATTAGCTTTTCACAGGGAAAATGCACAAATACCCCAATACAGGAGGTGCTACTTCCCCCTCACCTGTGGAAATCCAGAGTGAAATTCAAATTGTGCTTTCCCACTGTTGTGTTGTCTAATGGTATCATTGGCTCAACATACAAGCAGTCTGCAATGGATAAGGACTCACAACAACATCTCATGGGTTATCATGCTCTTTTAACTGTAATCTGCCATTCCTACTCCCGAGGCTGTAAAGAGCTGATGACTATAGCAGACAAGATAGCATGCTTAAGTGAGAGGTCATTTAGGAAGCCAGTTGACAAATACGTTGGCTTCCCTGACCACTAGCCAAGTTATTAATCATGAATTCGCAGGGACTGCTCCTGAAATTATCCCAAAATACTTGTGTTAGGTGGCTCATCACTCGGTCTGTGGCAGTAGACTAAAAGACCGTTACCTTGGAGGGCTAGAGGTTAGTTACACAGTAGTTTTCTTACCAGTTTTGGCTGGTAATAAGTTCAATACAGATCATGTGATAGGACTATACAGTACTGTGAGGGGGTTTTAAGAATTTATCATAAATGTAGGGTCCCCCCTCCCAAAGAACTGATAGAACAGATGAGGTTCATCACCAGTCACAATCTCTGGGTCTATATCAAAGGTGTCATTTCCAGGAGAGATGATTCCTCGTTTGTAGAACTGCTGACAGAGGGCCAGAGCTGTCTCTTCTGCTCCCTTCTTCTCATAAGCATGGTTTCCAACAGAGATGTTGGGCAGCTGTAAGTACTAAAGTTCAGAACAAACAGACAAACCAACTTAGATGGCACCAAAACTGTTAGTCTGAAAAAACCCAGCCAACCAGAAAACAACCCAGAAGTGTTTGGATCTGTGCCATAACCCATCTTTTTCATTTAAAATGAAAAAAGAACTTGGAAACCTACACCACACTACAGCTGAGTTCTCAAATACTTCAAGGTATTTGACCAAAAAAGTAAGTGCAGGATTTTGATCTAGATACCTTTTTGCTTATTACTTTTTTCTCTTCTCCTTACTAGAAAGTCTAATTTGATACTTGCAAAGAACTCTGGCACAAATCCAAGGACTGCACATTTAGTGCAGAAGTAGTATGCTGATTAGCTTTAAGAATGTTGCCACAGTACAATGCTCTGGCAGTGACAGAAAACCTAAATGAGTCAACACTCTAATCTTAAGCAACAGGCACAGAAGTTGTTTCAGGCACCATCAGGGAAGGTGGAAGAAGGAAAGGTACCCAGGTAAAGAGCATATATATATAGTATATATTGCAGCAACAGTCCTTACCTGGTTTATTGCAAAGAATATCTGATCATAGACATCTGTTTGTGTGTATACAGCATAGGTATCATCCATTCTGTCCATGTATCCTTTCAAGAAGAGATGTTTGAATGCAACAGTGTTCTCTTCTTTGAAGGCAACCACCATTTGATTGCTCAGTCCAAAAACCACCAGCTGAAAAATACATTTATATTTCCCGTTCAAAGACAAAGTTGGCTTCTGGATTAGCATATGAATTCTGTCCTACAAACAGCCACTCTTTTGTCACACTGGTAGACACGGCAGTTACACGCAGAATACTCCATTTCACAGACGGTCAAAAGAAAGTTTGACTTTAAGGAAACAATGGGTTTCCAGAATGTCCCTTTAACACATTTACCAGCATCTTGGCCAAGGACTCGCATTTTTACAAAGAAAAGGATACCATCTCAAATTCAAGCTACCTATATACTGTTACATGTGCTTTGTTAGTTCAGCCTGACATTAATACAACTTGCCTTGGGGAATATCAGTGTTCTTCAGGCAAAAAGGCAGGACAGGACTTAGCCAGACCCTGCTTTGAAGTCCTTACTCCAGCACACAAAAAGCAAACTGAGGACAGAAAACCAAGTATTTCTTCCTCATGTTTCAGGAAAGGTGCTTTGAGAATAACCAATCAAAACTGTGCTTGTAACAGCATAACCTCTGACAAACTAATATAACAAATATACTCCAACAAATAATAGCATAAACCCCTGCTTGCTACTATCCAGATTGGAAAAGTTTTCTAGAAGAATATGATATATTGTTTGTGGGAGCTCACAATTTTCTTCAGTGACTATTGTTTCAAATCTAGTGCCAAGAGCATTGTGAAGAAACTCATCAGAGATAAGTCCGAATCAGTAGTCTACAGATAAGTTTTACGGCCATGATGCAAACTGGATATGTAGATTTTGATAAGGATAACTCAGAGAGATACTAAAATGCTCTGTGGGCAAGCTCCGTGTGCTGGGCACAAGTAATACACCAGCAAATCAACAGTGCTAAGACTGAATTACCTACAGGCAGTTTCTTTTTCTGAAAAGGCTAAATCAGCACTAGTTTCTTTCTTATTTAGGCTCTCCCACCATCAAATTTTATTTCTAGTTGGAAAATGAGACAGATGACGAGAGGATGATGATACATTTAAAACTGAAGCAGAAAGGAAGGGATACAAACACAATGCCAGATGTATAGCAGGAGAACTATTATTTCTGCAGTTTGTCACATCGGTCACGCAACCACGGAAAACATTCTTCACTATACTTGCATTGTCATGGCACCAACACCACCATAAAGGTAAATCACATGCAGAAAACTCTGAAGGATCATCATTTCAGGCACTGGAGAGGCTTTGTGAAAGATCTTCTTCCTCCTTAAGCACAAAACTTTGAGACAAACAGTTGCCTTTTGTGCAGTAGATAAATGTGTTGACATCTATGGTGCAAGGCTGAGTGACAGGAAGACTGGAGCAGAATTTCTGGGGTTTTCTCAATACAAGAGTTTGTATACCATACAAAAGATACAAGCAAGCATGGTGAAAAAGCCACTCGTTTCAGTTCTTATAACCGTGACATTGAAACATGAACAACTGTTCCTTCCCTCAGACACTTGCAGGGAAGAAGTTATTGGGGGAATAGACACCATCCTTTAGGGGAAGAAAAAAAAAGTAATGTAAGAAGTCAAGCTGAGCCCTTAAACATGGTTCCTTTCATCTCTACTCTTAGGAAAGCTATTTTTTCAGTCAATATTTTTAGGAGAAAATTATGACATAGAATCATTAAACCATAGAATCACAGGATAGTTAGAGTTGGAAAGGACCTTAAGATCGTCTAGTTTCAACCTCCCTGCCATGGGTAGGGATGCCTCACACTAGACCTAAGCTACATATATGCAACTAAGACAGTTTTGCAGTCTATCTTCTCCCTTTCTCTGCACCACGCCACAAACAGCATTTGTCACCGGCACGCGTTTGACTTCCCATGAGGTAAGAAGAGTCCCTGCTGCCATAGTTACTCACCTGAACAGTAACCATTGCTATTTTGAGTAGCTGAATCCCAAGTTTCCAAGGTTTCCTGCCCCGGGCCCAGAATTTCTCACATGGGTTCATGAAGAAGAATTTTAATTTCCTTCTAAGCTGGTCTTCCAAAATTCCCTCCTGTGATATTGACAGGTGTCGTTTGTAACTGCAAAGGTTTTCATCATCTTGAGCACTGCAGCTGCTCACAGCCACTTCAGGATTTTCCATTTCTGAAATGAAGAGAAGCTCATGTCAGTCAGAAAACAGGCAAGCATGAATACAGTAGCATCAGATCAGTCTGCACTGACAACTGGATCCAAAGATGTGTATCTTCTGTGAAACGCACTTGAACATAGCACTGAATTTAAGACCTTCTTCATAATATTGCACATGTTCTGCAGATCCCTAAGAAAAGTTTGGCAAGCTCTTAAATTGCAGATAGACTGTCAGGACGCTTATTTGATAGTGGAATTTCTGTCCCTTTGGAATTACGGAGTCACTTGCTAAAAACTTGCTTCCTCTCTTACTTGCCAACATCATCATATATGCAAGACATCCTGACTCACTTCCTTCTGCGTCCAGAAGAGTACCAAAAGCCTCTCATGAGCGTTCAGTTTTCTGGAAAACTTACCTATTTCTGTAGCTAGTATTTCCCCCATCTCCAAGCCCACTGTCCAGCCCTTGAAAGAAATGGAATTTCCAAGACAGGCAGCATTTTTCTTTGACATTAGTATTAGCACTCTTGGAAATGGGGACCCAGCATGCAAAATTGCAGCTCAGATAAATTACCTGAGTGCATTAACTTGTCATTTAGTAAGATTATGTCTATTTCTTCAGCCATAAAAGACTGAGTGCAAAGCAGTGGTGATCATGAAGCAGACAAAAAGACCAAAAGGTGATTGTATCCAAGCATCGTGATTAGCTGAAGAGGCTCATGGTTTAGATGAGTTTGAGGGGAAAGATTGGAAGAGAATCTATAAACACAGTTTGAGATGTTACTCTCCATAGTATTCAACAGATGTTCATCTGTTATTAACTTCACTGACTCCCATTTTATACATGTTTTATAAAGTACTTAACAGGTAGCCGGGAATGTTTATTTCAGATAAAAGATTCCTGACATTAAGAACAGAGGAGACAGCCTAGGTCGTGAATGAATTTAGACATGTGCTATATTGGACAAATCATTTTCAATTTGCATAAAGAAAGTTTCTCATAGAATTTAAACAACAAATCATCACCAAGATAAATTTTAAAAAACACACAGATCACATCCCCTCTCCTCCAGCAGCCATTGCACACGCCGGAACACGAGGCTGCTTTCAGATACGATTCAAGACCTTGAACTTCCCCAGATGTCAGAGAGGGCAAGAAAAGTTCTGAATCAGCAGTTTAACACTAAGAACAGGCCCATAAAAGCAGGCTTAAGATAAAAAAAAAAAGAAAAAATCAGCTTCTGTTTTGCCAGGTCGCCATTGTCCCGCAGGACACAGCATGCCACCGTTCCCACTCGTCTTTCTTACCGCTGATCAATCATTTCCAAGTGAAGCCCTGCTCTGATACTGCAATATTCCTGACAATGTACGTGCTTGATTTACAAATAAACACACAGATAAATACATAAATAATACTTCTTGACCTCACGGTACCGGCTTGAGTTGATGTCCCTCGCAAACACAACGCACAGCGTTAGGCGGAGGCAGCCCGGGCCCCGCAGCGGAGGTACCGCAGCGGCAGCGCCCAAACCCGGCGGCCCCTTCCCCCCGTCCCGTCGCCGCAGCGCAGCCGGTGCCGTGCCCCCGCCGCTCCCCCGAGCCGCCACGGACGGCTGAACAACGCACTTGGAGCCAGCCGGGACTCGCTCAGCCGGTCAGGTCGCGCCGCCGCCGGCCACCGGCGATTCCCCGGCAGCAGCCGCCTCCGGCCTCTCCCGCAGTCCCGGCCACGCGGGCCCGGCGGGCGCTGATTTACCGTGGCATCCCAAAGCCAAGAGCTGGAGGCCGAGGGCACTGCTTCGCGCTTTTAAAGGAGAGGCTGCGGCGTACAGCGCACGGCGTACAGCCCAGGGCATACCGCATACCTGCCGCTGGGGCGTGTCGCTGCCGGTGAGGTCCCGCCGCTCCCTGCCCTGCTGTCGCGCGGGCAGCGGGACCGGGGCTGCTGGCGCCGCGGAGCGGAGCGGCCGTCACACACACCCCGTCGCTACCGGTCCCGCTCCCTGTCCCCGTCCCCCTCGCTCCCGGCCGGCGCGGCTCCTCGGCGGGCAGGTCTGGGGTCTTCGGCGGCCTCCGACAGCCCGTCCCAGCCCCGGGGGCAGGGTTGGGCGCGCAGAGCGTCTGTCACCTTCTGCTTCACATCTCCGCCAGTGAGGGCTCCCCACGGGACATACACTCTCTGAAGTATGCCGCCGTAATGCCGCCTCCAGATTTACTAACCTGGGCTTCTGCACCAGGAGGAAAAAAGGTAACGCTTACATTATCGCTAGTTGTGCCCCATCTGTAATAGAAATCCCTTTTCGGGTCACAGAACTGTAGTTACAAAGAGCAGCCAGCGGCACAGAGAGCGAAGTGGAATGACTGACATGCTTGAGTTATTGCACTTACATGCAATTAAGGGATTAAAGTTATTAACTGGACTTCAAGGAAACGGTCTCCTGTCCTGGGTCTCGGCCACTTTCACCGCACCGTGGACACGGTCCCCTCGGTGTTGCTGCCTGGCGGGGGCAGTGCCCGGTGTAAAGCACGGTTACGGTAGCTGCGCCCGGTCACCAGCTGCCCAGTTAGTGCTGCAGGAACCTGTGAGAGCGCTGGTGTGAGAGAAAGAGGGGAAATAAGGACAAGGCTAAACCAAAAAGAGCGGGCATTTTAAGAGAACTGTAGAGACAGGCATGGCAGGCAGCAAGGATTCTTTCTGTCTGCCGTAAGCAGGGTGGATGGTCCCTGCGTGCCACCAGGAACGAGCACCGGGTACTCCAGAGAAATCACACTTCGGAGCTCCTGCGTTTTACATCGCAGCAAAGCAAACTAAATTATTTTTATGCGTCAAAAATATGAAAGCTGTGGAACACAAATCTTCATATTACCGAATCGCATGGGACCACCTGAACCTCCTTCCCGGCTGGGGAAGTTCCCCTGGCAGCTAATGGCGAGGAGACGCCGGGCGGAGGGACGAGGGAGGGAGCTGCCGCCTACAGCACCCATGGTGCTCCGCCCCCCCACCCAGTCCTGCCCTGGCGAGTCCCTGCGCATGGCATGCTGGGACGTGTAGTTTTGACCTGAGCAGCCCTGTTCCAGCGAGGAACCCCCTATAGCCGCTTCCCTGGCGGGGGCGGGTTTCAAATACCGAGCGCTGACTGGCTGTTGGAAGCGTCAATCCCGGCCGGCCCCGGTGCCCTGACAACGGCACGGCGGCAGGGACGCTTTGAGGCCGGGCTGGCGGTGCCGCGCAGGTAGGAAGCGGCCCCGCGGCGCCGGTGGGAGCGGGTGAAAAATGAGAGGCCTGAGGACACGGGCAGCAGCTGGCAGGGAATCACCGCTGGGCCGGGCCGAGGCTGCGGCGCGGAGCCCGTGGCCTGCTCCGTGCGATCGAGGCTGCCGCAGCCGCTCGCCTTCGTCACGCAACCGGCCAGCGGGCTCCGCGCCTTCCTCCGCCCCTCGGCCTTCGGGAGGGGAAGGGCTCCCGGCAGGCCCTCGGGGTGGCTGTGCCACAGGCTGGAGGGTGCTGGTGAGGAGAGGGGTTGCAAACACCCCCCGACCCCTGAGCTGCTGCACATGACAGTCAAATTCACACGCACCAGTCCAGTGTCCAGTACGAGCTTGTCCTCCAGCAACCACCGGAGGTTCTGTCTGGGCCAGTAAGGGCAAGATCATAATAAAGCCATACTTCCATTTTCACACCTTTTTTTTTTCTTGCATTTATGGCTTCATTTCAATAGCCAGAGGTATCATCATTGTTTCATCATCTGTCAATTTACCCTGTTTGAAATCGTGTGCTTTTGGCTGCTATCCTGTCCACGGGCATTATGCTCCATAACTGATCTATTGTGCAATGAAACACTTCTGTACTCCTTTTGTTTGTTTTCAGTCTGTCCCTTGGTAAGCACATGTGATGCCAGCTAGATCTTGTATTACAAAAGAGGGTGGATAATCACCCCCTGCTCACTTTCTCCATGCCTTGACTTCTATCATAGCCTCTTTAGTCCAGGCTACAAAGAATTCTAGTTTATTCCCAGTATAAAACAGATCTTCAATATTCCATGTTATACCCTTTCCAATTCTATTTCTTATTTCATGAGAGAAACATAACACAGTATTATCCAATGTTTTAATGAAGTTCTCAGTTTTGCTGTCTATGCCTTTCTTATTAATTCTTAACCTAATTTTACATTTACATTTACATACTTATCATCCCAGAGCCTGTAACTACCTCTACTAGTTTCTATCAAATAACAAAATCTACACCTGGTTCAAGTAGGCCTGATTTTATGAGAAGTTGTACCTGTGAAATCAGGTACATTCAAATAGAACCATTCATATGCTGAAATGATTTGGCAGTTGCCAAAACTTCAGCTTTACTCTCTAAATCTTATACAATGAAGTTGTGTCCAAATATGCACAAGAATTATTCATAACACAAACTTTAGGTATTTGTATTATTTGGTCTTTGTGTAGAGCAAAGTAGAATAAATGTAATTAAAGTGAACACTGTATATGAACTTCTGGAGAGACTACATCATTCTCATGACAGTACTTTTAACAAGTTCCTGAATGTTTACAGACAGAAATGTGACTTTTAGCTTGACAGTGACACAACAACAAAAAGCAAGTAGCACCTGGTTTTGATAATTTTCTTCTAGTGCTTTTGTTAAATGGAAGGGCTCTCAATTCTTCTGTCATTGCAAATTGTAGTAAATTGCAGTGCTAAATTAGTAATGGACACAGGCTTGACCTTCAACCATTCAATTAGGCAACTAATGAATCATTCTGTGTCCTCACTTAAGACAGCATCTTTTGTGGCACTGAGAGCTAATTCACTTTCCCCTGGTGCAGTACCTAGCAACTTCACGCCTTTGGTTTATAACTGTAAATGTTTCAGTACACTAAATGATTAGGAGAACACTCTGAGCTTATTTTTTTTCTTGAGACTAATGTTGAAAATATTACAGGCATCTATAAATAAACTAGGCTACAAAATGTCAAAGTTGTCAAACATTTACTTGGGTTTTAACAATTAAATAATGTAACACTGTGTTCCAGTGAAAACTGACTGAAAAATCAGACTGAACATATTTAATGGAATTTTTGACTCCACAGAATCAGAGAATGGTTTAGGCTGAAAGCCCGCACTTAAAGCTCATCCAGTTCCAACTCCCCTGCCATGGGCAGGGACATCTTCAACTAAACCAGGTGGCTCAAAGACCTGTCCAGCCTGACCTTGACTTTTAAAAACCTCTATGGCAACTGATTTTCAAGAGCTGGAGGTTTTTTTGGTGTTTTTTTGTTGTTGTTTTGTTGAGGTTTTTTTTTTGTTTTGTTTTGTTTTGTTTTTTGTAGGTTTTGTACTAATAAATTAAATTATGTTAATTTAAATGTAATTTCCAATCTCTGTTCTCAGTCATAGAATTATGAATTTACATAAGCATTGATGGAAAAGCATAACACAACCGTACAATTCTGGACAAATATGCATATTAGAGTCCTTTCTAAATAAGTGATAGAGAAATATCCCTAAGAGGATAGGAACTAACCACAGATTAAAGAAATTATCTTTTTGTCATATCTTCAGACAGTCCTCTAATACAGACACCTTTTTTTTTCATGGTTTGCTTGGTAGGATTTGGTACTTTGTGTAAAAACTTAGGGAGTGAAAAAATACCAAAACCCTGAAGCAAGAGGTAACTTCTGAAAATACCAGCTTTTATCTTACACATTAAGAACCATTAGGATTTTTGTTCCTTTATTTCTGTTTTGAAGAGGAGGAGTGCAAAAGATTGCTTTTCAATAGGTATTTAAAGTTCTCAGTGCATGCGGGTTTCCTGCAGTGAGCACCTGTGGGTTAGTAGGTTATTTAATCCTGTATAAAACCCCAGCTTTGCATACATACTTTGTGAACAGCTATGGACTTGGTAATGCTTCCAGAGAAGTCTTAGAAGTTCTGCCTTTGCTTTCTTTGAAGGCCTTACATGTTTCCTAACCACTGACAATCATATGCCCACAGAATGACAAATGGACAGAGGTGATACGGTGTTAGGGGTATTGTAAAAGGAGATAATTACCTTGTACTTTTCTATCTATCTGCTTTCCAGCTGGTGAGGTTCTGTGTACCACAGATGGAACCGTGAACAGTCCTACCAGTTGCGCTCTTCGTTTGCAATTCTTAAACATCAATACTTTTTGTATTAACGTACGCAGTCACCAGTACTGCCCTTAGCTGCATAGTGCTGTGTGTGCCTCTACACCCGATTCTTTCAGTAAAGGAGGAGGAACTGCATTTACTGGGAGACAATTTTCAAATGTTTTAACTGTTTTTATAGGTATAAGATACTTGAAGTCAGTTGAAGGAAAAGGGATGTTTTTACTTGCAAATTATTGTACTAAACATAGGCATGTGACTTATCTCAGCCCTTTGCGTTTCCTCTATTCATGTGACTTATGGTTTAGGTTACTCAGAAGAAAAAAATCAGCATTTCCAAATTGGCTTTGTTTCAGTGTATAATTAGGAAATGGTGAAATAAACCAATGTGACAGTAGCATATATGAGATGGTTCATACTGTTCTTCAACTGATTTGTAGAGTAGCTGGCCTCTCCTCCTGTCCGGGAGGACTGTCTCTTTTATCCAGAGGTGTGAAGGTTGATTTCAAATGAGTCACAGAATCCATTTATAAAATGGGTCACAATATTTTTTACATAACATGTACAAGGAGATGGATAAGAAATAGCTTTGAACTTTTATTGTTAAATAAAGGAAAATTAGCTTCTTTTAACCATCTGAATTGACACGCACTCGAAGGTAAGTGTTTCAGTACTATAAACTATGCATATTTTTCAGTGTAGAGGCTTCTTTGAAAGATTATAACTGGGAAAATATATTGAATATTAAACATGAATATATTGCCAATGTTTGTAGTGTTGTGCCTGACAAAAAGACTGGGAGAACGAGGGCAGAAAAAAACTCCTAACTTTCTTCTTTACATTCACTATACATAACTTGTGAGGGCTTTTTAATCTTCCAAAAACATCATCCCTTACAAGGCAAGAGTTTCATAATTCTGAAACATTAATCTGTTTGCCATTGGCATTATCATTACCTTTTGGAAAAAGTGTAAGATTAAATTGCTAGTTTTTCAGATGGATTAATGAAGGGGCTGTATTTGCAATAATGACTGAACAACAGAGAAATGCAGTAACATTCCATACATGGAAGCAGCTTGTCACCTGTGATCTGCATGATTCAGAACAATAGAGAAAAGAGCTTGAGGCTTTATAAGTATATTTTTCTATTTTGATTGGAGTGAAAAAGAAAAATCTATTACTGTAATAAGACTGTCAGACTCTGCTCCCATTAAAGTTAACAGCAAAATTTACCTTGAATTCTTGGGAAGTTAACACAGATCCCAAAGACAGGCTATAATCCATGACCTTTATCTTGGCCATCAATGGTCATCTCCAAGCGAAAACTCAGATTGGAAGCTAAAATTATATTGATTGCCTCTGGAGTATTTGAGAGCTGTGTTACAAAACAGAAAATGCTATTTCTCAGTCTGGGAATGACCATCCCAAAGCCAGGATGACCACTGAAATTGCAAATTCACAGGCCATGCCGTGTTTGTTTTAATGCTTATACTGGTTTAGGCCTTTCATTGGGAAGGTCTTAAGATAGAACACTTATTTTATAAACTCACCATTGCATCTTAAAGCATCCTGACAGTAAATGTGCTGTTCACATGTGCAG